GGGGCCGCGCCCGGCCGGAGCGGGCGGCCCCGCAGGCGGACAGGGAGAGGCCGGCACTGCGGGGAAGCCTGCGGCTTCCCTCCGATCACCCTGCCTCGCCGCCAAAACCCAACGCCCCACCTAACACCCCCTACTCAGCGCTGTCTGACTGCACCTCTGCAGAAATCCCGACGTTTCAATCAGCTGCCGCAGATACACACTGCCTCTGCTCCGAGTCTGCTATAAACTTAACTGTCATACGGCAGGGATTTTCAGTAATCAGCCTTTTGAAGCTGCAGTATTTCTCGGAAAGCACCGTTTTAAGTCCTCCTGTGCATCGTACCTCTATGAACACCAGCAAGTGTCCGCAGAATGCCTGGCACCACACCTACGATTATCTGCAGCTAAAGCTGTAAAATGAGACTTGCTCCGTCCCGCAGGCAGTCCAATCCCAGGCTGCCGGCCGAAACGGGAAAGCTTACAGGGAACGGGGGCCCCACCAACCTTCTCTGTGAAACACCTTCTCTAGAAACTTAATAGCTTTTAAGTACATTCCAGGGCAAGCTACTTTTGTCAGCTGCAAGAGCTGATCTTAGCAGGCAGCCTAGCGACACCAGTTACATTCTATCCAAAGTCCAAAGCAGTGAGACAGTTGCAACATTCCTCCAAAAGGACTTTACCCACCATACTTCAATACAAAATAACCACACGCTACCCAGATACATGCAACTCAACAAGATCTGCTCTCTATTCAAGTGTATAGGCCCTCCCACATTGCAGTCGTGTTATCAATCCCCAAAAAATTCGTTTGAACTACCTACAACATTCAGGCACACTGGAAAAGTAACGTTAGAAAGCAAACAAATCAAAATAAGCAATCAGAAAATGTCTCAGTTACAAGCTATATAAACATATTTAATACCCTCTTTGCTGATCTTAAAATTGAGCTTATTTTCTGAAGGATATCAAGACTTTTCCCCCCCCTCCCATTTCCACACCCTACCCCAAAGTAACTAGCTCCCATCCTCCCAGAACAGCCCCAACATCTTCTCTATACTACGCACCTTATTCAGTCTACGGTATTTCTGCTAGAAGCAAAAGAAAACAGTTATTTTTACTTAGTACAGCCTCGCTTTAATTTGCAGTGACTATTAGGCAACCATTTTTTATTAAAAAAAAAAAAAAAGAACCTGTCTTCATTCCCACTAAAAACAGGATTTTGAAGATAGGAAGGAATATCAAGTTCCTGCTGATACTCTGAGGATGCATCAATTTCTTAAAAAAAATAATCATACCTTGCTTTAATCACAAACATACATTTAATCAGTTTTGTTATAACATAAAACTAGAAAAGCAAAATTTTCCCACTATGTTTAACACCCCACCCCTTAAAATGGTAATACACTGCAATTTAAAAGTTACTCTGCTAATATGGGGATGAAGAAGGTAGAAAAAAAGCTATTAATACATCAGATAGAAATGGTTAAGTTGATTTAAAAAAATATTTTTCCCCTTAAAACTACCTTTTTTTTAAAAAAAAAAAAATAATCTTCTCACCTGTGAGGATCGTCTTCCTTTCCTCTTGTAGTCTTCCACATCTCTCTCTTCCTTAAGAGCAGCCATTTTGGAAGGGTACTCTAACTCAGCCTTTCTTTTAGATCTAGGAAACCTAGAAAACAGGTTGGATAAGTCAGTACTTACCCCAATACCTGTGAAGCAGGGCCTTCTCTGGCTGCAACGCACGGGCGTGGCTTTAGGAGGAAACAGAGAGGGGTCAAACTAGAAAAAAAAAAATCTAAGTATTTAAAAGGGTAAAAATCCTCACTCTTGTTTTGCTCACAATTAAGAGCTGCAGAAGGAACATCTGCTATCCTAATAAAGGTCTTTTTACAACTGTTGGAATAACCAGATACAGACTAATGCTAAAATCTGCAGAAAACAACCTATTGTTGATTTTTGTCTTACATAACTATCACGAATACAACTTGTACAGGGCAAGCAAATTCCCCTTTGATAGCCAAGCCCATTACATAAATCAAATTCTACTTCTGTAGATTTAAAAACCTCAAACATTTAACATTTTGTAAATACCACTTATGAGAATTATGTGTAATCTATTGTAAATCAGTGATCCAGCAGCCTGGAACTAAAATGCTAGAGGATGTGTTAAATGTTTTTTGTACTGAAAAATACTTTCCACTAACACCAGTGCAAAATCCTTTACCGATTCTATTCTTGCAACATCAGAAATTTTAAGTTGATCCTCAGCAATCTGTAGCACTAGTCATCTGCATTACTTCTGCTTCCAAGTGAGCTATTTCTACCCTGTACTCTGCATTTACATGCCCAACTTGTCACAATAATTGGGAAGTCATGTACATATCATTACAAAAATCAAGTACTTCACAAGATAAGCTCAGTAAATGAATCCATACCTAAGCATTCAAACAAAGAAATCCAATTCCCTTTAGCCTTTATTACTTCAAGTTTTCTGAGATCATTAAGTTACTTATCATATTGTATTACTATCTTTGGCTACAATTCAACACTACTTCAGATGTTTCTTGAAACTTTATTACAGTAGCCAAAATACAACACTGTCAACTAGATAACATGCTTCTGTAAAACTACATTTGTGCCCGCTGAGATCACTGATATTTACTATACAATCAGGTATATTTTCGTGGGGGGTTTGTTTGTTTGGGTTGTGTGGGGTTGTTTTTGATTCCTGGAAATACTGCATAAGGAAAGGCAGGCCGATCTCTATTACTGGCCAATATGTACTGTTATTCAGAGTGGAAATTATTATTTACTATGTTAAAATCTAGACTCAAATTTAAACTCAACTGTGAAATCATGAGTACCATGATTTAATGCATTAACAATTGTAAAGGTTTTATGAAGCAATATCAAAGTGTTTGTATTACTTTCAGTTTCTTTCCACAAAATGTTAAATCTTCTCTTCAAATCCTTTAAATCAAACATCAGTTTGACTTAAGAGGCATTAAAATACTGAGATTTTCAATTCCTTACCTTCTTACCGTCACAGAAGGTAAGAAACAGAATGTTAAGAATTCCAGGGCTTTTAAAAAATAGCTGTATGGCAAAATTCAAAATTTGGTAATAGTTAGGGAGGAAAGCGATAAGCCTCTTTAAATACTTTAAGGGATTGCGTACTTTTCATTACTATCTGATTTTGTCACCTACTGCTTTTCCCAGTGAGGCTCCATGCTGGCCAATATAAAGCTCTCAGGCATGGTCTCTGCCATGATGGCTTCTGAAGGCCATGGCGGTCAAGAGTTGTCTTTGCTAATGCACATCATCAGCTGAAGTGGAACACAGCCCTGTTCAGCTCCATTCCTACTTTGCTCCATAGAAAGTTGTTTTAAAAAGCTGTCAACATTAGCTTTTTTTATATTTAACGTCAACAGAAAATTCTATTCAAATCTAAATAAAAATATTCAGAACATCAGTTAAACTGCTATTGAAACACTTGTATACTGCAGGTTAACTACAGAACTGAAAGCAGTCTCAAAACAAATCTGTTATGATGAGAAGAAAGTCACCAGAAGATGCCTCATTATTCAAAGGAACTTATAATGCCACTGCATCTCTTAGAGAGACAACAAGGCAACAGGCAAAAGAGACATTCCCATGATGGCAGTTTACCTGTCCCTTCAGAATACTATGGAGATGTACTGGTCTTTCCTGTAAATAGCTGGAGTTGGACCTAATGTACATATAGCATATCGTGCCAAACCTAAGAGTTAAAGCAGCAAAAACCAGATTTTCAGCTCTAAATGGCAGTTTGTTCTCAACACCAATAGGAATGTCTGCTGGGAAAAAAAACAAGAAGATATTAGCTTAATAACTTATGTGATGGGTTTCCAAGCTTTACTGAAGCATGTTCAAATGCTTTGAACTCACCATCCCTCCCAGTTGTCAAACTATCCAACAACCCTGAAACAGCTAAAAAAATTGCTCACATGTTAGTTATTTTTAGCTGTTTTTCTAAGGGATTCAGTTTCTTCTCTGCTTTTACTGTAGAAACAGAAACTACTGTGACCTGTTAATTCCTCTATCCTCAATTTTGTACGGTTTCATCTTGCAATGAAGGGGGTCAATATAAAAAAAAACAAAAAACACAACCACCACACAAAAAAACCTGCACCAGTTTTGCTCACCATACTTTAAATGCTTGAGCAAAAACTTAGATTTTGAGGAGAGAGTAAAGAAACTCAGTGGGGGGATATCGTGACAGTATTTCCCTCCAGATAGAGTGTGGATGAGTGCCCTAGCCTGTCTTTGATCTCGACTTCATTCAAGTTGAGGAAAATTTGAACCAAGGTTTGTGCCGAGACTGCTTCTTCGTGTTGCCTACCAGGATCATGGCAGCATCCCACCCAATGTCGTGACTCTTGTGCATGTGTGGTTGGGGGAGCGAAGAAAGGGAAGAGAAGCGCAGAGAGCTTTGTACGATGCTTTCCCTCACCTCCCCGGGCAGCAAAAGCTCGCTACACGTGCTAACGCCCCTCAGAAAAGAGGGTAGCGGGCCGGGAGGGAAGTTAGGGAGGTGCTGCAACGTGTACCAGCATTCCTCGGCAAGACGCAGCGTACAACACTGAACGACCTTAATACCTTAAAAGTCTGTTCCCAGAAAAATGAGCGGGAAAAGAATACCCCTAGCGCACTACTCCGGGTAGCTTACGTGGAAGGCCACAGGAAGGACAGAACAATGACACACGCACATGCGAGAACCGCCTCCCCAGTCTCGCCCGAATACGCAGTTAAGTGCTTCGGCATCGCGCAGAATAAGATGGGGACTCCGCTACTCCCGGCCTTATCTCAAGCCGAGGGCCAGGCCTCCCCCACCCACGCTCTGGAGCGCAGCGAAATGGCGGCCACAGTCGCTGTGCCCGAGGGGCCGCAGGGCGGAAGCGCAGCCTCTCCCGCACCCTCCCTCTTCCTCCCAGCGGCCGCCATTGCGGGCTAATGCGCCATGTCGCAGGGAAGAACGGCTCCAGAGCGCGGCAGAAACGCAACAAGGAGGCGGCGGCCGCTGCGGGACGGCCCCGGGGACCGCGAGGGGCACCATTACGTGCCCCCCCACCCCGCCTTCCAGCCCACTGCGCCCAGCGCTCCCCCTTCCCGCCCGGGGGCTCTGGCGGTCGGTTAAAGCAGCTCTACCTCCGCGGGGGGCGGGGGGGCGGCCGCTCCACCTCCCCTTCCACCCTCGCCTCAGCTCAGCCTAGCGAGCCCCGCTCCCTCCGCGCGGCGGGCAGTTACCTCCATTTTGTGACCAGACTCGCCTCCTTCAGTACCAATATGGAGCCGAGAGGAAGAGGAGGGGGAGGGCGGAGGCGGGGTCACGTGGTGGGGGAGGCGGGCTCGGGCACCGCGCGGCGGGG